CCAGCATTTGAAGTTGTGCTTATTACGATCAGTCATCCGAAGATCAAATAAGTGGTTGGAGTCTTGTGGTCAGAGATAGTGACAAAATAGTGACAAGATAGGAATAACTCGTAAGTTTGGAGTCAAATGTTATCAAGCTTATATTGCTTAGTCAAAGCTAGATCTTCTCTTTTAATTCGTTTTTTAAACCAGCAGTATAAGCTAGCAATTGTTTTTATATTACAAAGTATAACTTTTTTTAAATATAATAAAAATGTTATACATCAATATTTTTGTAGTCAGTTAGAGAAAATTCGAGACTTTTCAAATAAATCTTATTAATGTATATTGTGAGTGAAACCAATGAGACCAATAGTATCTTATACTAATGCACCAAACTACTTACTCGCAAAAGAACTTAATAAAATACTCCCTTCCTTACTCAACTTAAGGCCAAAACATAGTATTAAAAATACAAGTCAACTAATAGATAAACTTAGAGATCTCAAAATTCCATGTAATGCACAATTGCTTTCATTCGATGTTGTTAATCTATTTCCCTCCATCCCTACATACCATCTAAAGAATATTATTGAATACCTGGTTGACAATAGCCCTTCCTTGTGTGTTGATTCAAAACAAGAAATTATAAAACAAATATCCATTTGTTTAGAACAAAGCTACTTCAAGTTCAATAATAAATATTATTTACAACTTAACGGTCTTCCAATGGGCTCTCCCCTCTCCCCCCTTCTCAGTGAGATATTCATGTCATACATAGAGGACCTTATATTCGATTCGACCTCCCCCCTCACCAGTAATGTTTTACACTGGTCGAGGTATGTCAATGATGTGTTTTGCATCTGGAAGGGTACAGAGAGGACAATGACCAATTTTCTCAGCTACACAAATGATTTAGTACCGGGTATAAAATTTACAGCAGAAGCTGAAAATGACAATAGTTTAAATTTTCTGGATCTAAAAATAACACGAAAAGACGGTGAGTTGTTGTATGAAATTTATAGAAAACCAACTTTCACAGATACGTTAGTACCGTACGATTCAAAGCAGTCTATCAATATAAAAATGAGCGCATTTTACTCTTTTGTACATAGATTATTAACAGTACCGTTAACGAAATCTAATTACGAAAAGGAAATCAATCTATTAAAATGTTTAGCAATTAATAATGGTTACAATGAAAACCTCATAGATAATCTAATTTTTAAAATAAACAATAGACTTATTTCAAAATATTTTTACGCAGTCGCAAAACAAACCAAAAAATTTAATATGTTGAATTATGTTCCCATAGTATCCGATAAAATAAGTAATTTCTTAAAAAAACAAAATGTAAATACAATCATGGTCAATAAACGTAACTTGAAATCCATTTTATGTAATAATAAGGAAAAAGTTGGTATTTTACAGAAATGTGGTGTTTATCAGATTAATTGTTCCGAATGCGATGCCATATATATTGGACAGACAGGACGTGCCCTTTCCGAACGTATAAAGGAGCATAAAAAGTCTATTTATAATGATCGCAATACGACGGGTTTTAGTGAACATTGTAATTCTAATGCGCATTTCCTAGATGAAAATAATATAAAGTTACTACACAGTTTACCTAAAAGTTTTAAATTGAATCTGTTTGAGACAATAGAAATAGAATTAGCAAAAAAACATAATAAATTCATAACGAACGATCAAATTAATTTTACTCTATCTCCAAGAATAGAAAATGTAATGCATAGTATCTCATAAGGTACTCATACACAGTCGCATACATATCATACCGTTGAGCGACAACTACATTTGTTATACTTGTACGTGACTTCAGCGAACTGATGTACATAGACCATTCAGTGTATGTCGAGCATCTGACAATGGCGTAACTGCTGAAACAGCTGTCTGCGAATAATAAAACATTGTGAAACAAAGCCAACTTTGAAGTTTTTACTTATTAATATACATTTTGATTCGAAATGTTTCACCAACGCCCAAGCGAGAAATCAATTAATAATAAATCTTATTGCACGTAGGGGTATTCTAATCAGTTTTTATTATCTACAAAGCAAAGTGAAGTCCAAGTAGAAGGCACAGAGAAAGACTTTTGTCGAAGAATTTCAATTAGTTCGTAATCCTAAGACAATCATCAAGCATTCCTCTTAATCTCTTTTTAAGGATGTATGGTTTAATCGACAAGTTTTTGGAGCATCACCTTCTTCTGGCAACATTAGGGCTATGATATCCAACTATGTTATTGATCGTTAGAAAAAGGAGCAAAAGTCTAACCCAAGCTTTTGATATTACTGTATGCTCTACAAACTTTGGTGCGCTGTATGGAAACTACGAAAGCTCTACTGTGGTGGCTAAGCATAAATGTAAATATAGTTACAGAGATTTATTGAGTGAATTATTTAATAAAACTAATATGGATATTCTCCGTACTTAGCTTCCTTGTATGACAAGTGTCTGTCGGCCAACAAAATTAGACTTAAGAATAAAAACTATGTGAATTGTCAAAAGTTTCGCTTATTCAAATAGCTATTAACCTCTTACATTTTCTCTTCATTCAAATTTAGAATATTTGTTAATACTTAAAGCAGAGATAAATGCTGATATCAATGGCAATTTACCTATTTTACTGACTCTTATTCCTCAAATGATACTTGTAACTGGAGAATGGTATATAAACTCACAAGCAGCCATAATGAGTTAGAAAATACCTATAGTCGTTTATCAACTACGACATTTTAAAATTTAAGAGCTGTTAAAAACTAGTGTAAGATTTGTTAACTCTTCTCCCTTCCTACCTAACAAAAGAAAATTTTAATTAAACAAGAGCATAAAAGAAAAAAGGAATTTACAAGTAAGTAGCAATATTTAATATAAACGGTTATAGTGTTAAAAAGCATTAAAAACATGAGTATGGATTAAAATTTAAAAAATTTCAATGGAACAAAAATGTATTAGAAACAAAAACTTATATTAACTTAAACAATACTAAAAAGTTTAGAAATAATTATTGTGGATTAACACTTAAAAAATTCTCATTACATACAATTATATTAAAAATAATTAGGAAAAAAAAGGAACCAAAATTACTACTTTGTCATCAAGCAGAAAAAAAGCTAGAAATCCAGCAAACAGCAAAATTGTCAGCAAACCGAAACTGTTGAAGAGTGCAAGCTTTTATAAGACGATAATAAAGATGGAGTCTGCCCTAATGACCAAAAAAAAATGGAAACGTGAAAAAAAAAATTTTTCCCATTTCTTTTAATTTGAGCACCGTTAGTTACTACTTGTTACATACAGTCATTTCTTTAATTTTTTTTGTATTAAATACTAAATTTTAATGTTTAATATACTTTTTGTAAGCATTTAAAAGTATTTTTTATCAGCAATGGTTGTTTTTTTTATAGAAATGCATTAATGTTTGTGATAAAGTCATGCTCAAACGCTATAAGGATTATCATTATTATAAGTTAGTTAACTTTTTCTAGCAAGAGTATAGATGTTACAACATAAAAAATTTTGTTACAATTATACTGTGCGTAAGAGAAAATTAATATAATAAAAAGGCAATGTAGTCGTCCCTTATAACATTGTGATATTTATTACAAATCATGGCATATTGTTGTGGATGAGCCTATATAAAACATGAGATATTTCCTGAAATGTTTGATGCTTTATTTACTGACAAAAGGCAACTTTTGAATAAAAATGGGGCTTGCATTTGAGTTTACTCATTCATCTTTTTCTCGTGAGTGTTCAAACTATTTGACTAAATTAAAGTCTTTCCGATGAACAACGATTATGCAGCTCCTGTCAGTGTAGATGTAGTGTCTTACAGTAAAGTAAACAAGGAGTTTTGAAGTGCTCAGTTAACTTGCGGTATTAATACAAGAATCTAAAATGGGTCTCCAAAACTGACAACTTTTTTTCTCAAGACAGTCTACAAACCTTAAAAATCACCGTGTAAGCAAATTTTGGGACTCGTTATGTGGATTTTTATCTGATTCCTTAGATGGTACAAATCATGATATAACTGGCTGTTCAGCTTTACAAGTCAACTAGCGGCCCCAGTTTCGGCTTCGCCCGAGATTCCCTGGATGGAACACATGTGTATTGACACATAATATAAAACCTTTTTAGTAAAAATTTGACATCTACTCTTGACATTTCTTGGAAGAAAAAACTTTTTATTAAAAAAAATAAAATGATGCTGAAAAGTACCGTCCACTCCTTGCGTCATAAAATAGGTATTGGCCCTAAAAAGGGCCATTGATTTGTACTCTTTCATGTTATCGTATAAAAAGGGTTATTTGTTACAGCTGTAAAGATTAAACACTAATAAAAAATATTATTCAAAATTATTTTTTCAATCACAAAATTTTACTGTATATAACATTTTTGGTTTTATTTTTAGAAGAAATTAAAACAACCTGATGATATGGGCTACCAGTTCTTAGAAGCCCAACAAACAATCGTCCATGTAAAAAGCTGTTTGATCTTAAATTTACACCCACAAAATTATAAGTCTGCTCTGGAGACTTGTTAATTGTCATGGCAAAAGAAACTTCGACAGGAAACTGTAAATGCTTCAGCTGAAAAGGTAAATCAGTTGGTATTATCCAAATTCTTGAACTAATAGCTATTCGGCCTGATGCTGGAACAGTCGAAACAGTAGCTTCTATCACAATATTTTGTAGAAATTTAATTCGCAGTCTGGTTCCATTACACAGGTTCGGAGGTTAAAGATTATGCAGTAGCATAATTGGAGATACAACTTTTAAACTTAACTTATGGGGAGGAAATCCTGATGGAGTTAGGGAGTTTAAAAATTCCTAAGGATAATTAACAACATCTTCAGTTCCAATGACTGAATCAATTGAGAGGTATTCTCAAGAATTAGCTGCAAACTTTTGAGGAATAATGTTGTTAATTTCCTCTGCTGTAGAATTTCTTGGTAAAATCATTGCTCTCTCACTTAACTATTGGTATGGTTTGTTTGATTAATTTTCAATGTCCGGGTGAACTTTAGAAATAAGATCATCGACAGTTTTAACCAGTTTTCCAATAAATTGATCTATGGTGATAAAACCATTTTTATTTTTCATCGTGCTACTGCCAATTTCTAACAGCTGTGTTGGAAATTCCGTGCTTCCTCCACAGAGATGTGCTCTCATATTAGTACGTAAACGATGAGACTCTTCATAATACCGGAGAAATGATGATCTTAAACAGGCATGAATTATATCAGCTCTAGTTCCTCTCTGAATTACTGGTAACGTCTGCCTCAAACCTCCAGCAAAAACAAATGTAGTGCCAACCATTAGTTCCTGGTTTAATCTTAAATCTTTCAAAGTTCTAATAATTGCTTCAATGTGAGCTCTGTGACTCATTGTGCACTTATCCCATACAATAAATGCTGTATCTTGAAGAATTTTTCCGAGAGGGCCATTTTTGCGTAACGGGCACGTATAATCTTCTCCGGAAAAAACACATAAAGGAAGTTTAAAAGTGAAGTGAGCTATTCTACCTTCACTCAAGAGAGTGGCAGCAATAACAGAAGATTCAACAGCAAGGGACAGTTTTCCTGCCGATCTTGCTTGGGCCAACATAAGATAAATTAGGAATATTTTTTCAGTGCCTTCAGGAGCATCCAGGAAGAAGACTTTTCCACTACTATTTAAGACACTATCAATTGTACGATCAACAGCTTGTCGTTGATCTGAAACCAAATTTGGAAGATTTTGCTTAAAAAAGTTACGTAAATAGTTATAATGATAACCACGTCTGATAGTATGCTCAAAAGGATTATTAGTACAGAGTTCATCTCAAACAGGTGCATTAAGCCCAAATGAAGCCAAATTTTTTTCTGACAGAGAGATGACTTTATCCTCTATTTCAGTTAAACTTCTAATGAATAATTCTTCAGAGACTTTGATTTTGAAATCATTCAGTTGAACTCGTCAAGAGTAAAAAATGTCTTCAAATAATTGTGGTTTAAACATATCCCACAAAATTTGAAGTTGCGATGGCTCGCAAAAAACCTAAATGATTGCAAATAAGTCACGTAACTTAGACAGATTTTCAGACAAAGCAGCATCTTCCAGTATTTTTTTCCATTGATTATTATTTTCTAATAAACCAAGTGCTTGGTCAGCAGCTTTTAAAGTTGGATAAGCAACGCTATCAACGGTTTTCAAGTACTAAAACGAAGTTGGGTCTTAAACATCTTGAAGTAACATTTGAAAATGGAAGCACTCGGATTGGGTGGGATAAATCGTATAAACTCTACCTATAGCTGGATCTTTTCTTACTTCTGGCCAGCCTGGAACATGTTTTCTTTGTTTTCTCCTCACTAATTTATTATTGTCCCATCGGCAATAGGCGGCAACTTCGGAATACAAAAGAGTTTTTGCAAAATTATTTATAATGCAAAGTTCAAAAAAAGCAGTCAATGTCGTTTTTATCGGATTTTCGAGAATTTGTTGAACATTTTGCTGATTGATGTAAACTCTTTGATAATTTTTAAGATGGACATCTAAGTACAAGACTGTGGGGTATTGCGTGTGAATCTCAAAATCGAAAAAATGCCAGAATCCTTCTGAGGAACAAACAAAGCGTCTATTGGCATAGTTGGCAACTTCGTCAACATTTCCAAAAGAAAAAGTAGCACGATCAATTCCTTTGTTAACATATATGCAAATATATTCAATTGCTTGCTTTGAATGATAAAATTCAACATTAATGTGAGCAATGAAACATCGAGATAAGATAAGTGAATACGAAACAAACCAACGGTTATTAATGGGTACATCTGTGCCATGAATTGTAACCATGGAACTATGACCTCCGTCTGCAGGAGATCTTCTACGATAGGTATGACAGCCGTCATCTGCAGTTTGAGTTTCTTTTACGAAATTCCGAGGATACTGTTTTGTACATCTTCCGTTATTTTTACATGGTCAAGCCATGTTAAATTCGCCGCAAGGCTCATAAATTATATTTTTTGAAATAATATTAAACAGTAAAGGATCTTGTTGAGGATTGGGTAATTTAGCTAAAGTTGTATTGTATATTTGATCTGGCTGAACTTTTGTTTTTAGCCAGAAAAGTATGTGAACGTGAGTTAGGCTTCGTTTTTTTCATTCAACACTGTTAATCCAAGCATCAACTTCTCCACATATTGTTTTCTTAGTAAGGACATCTATAAGTTTTCTTAGTTGCAAGTGAAAAAATCTTGAAAAAATATCATGCCTGTCTAAGGGTTTTTGATTTTTGTGTAATTCGTTTTTTATTTCCAACCATTCAGGGTTACATGTGAAGGTCATGAATAAACATGGACATCCAAACGCACGTACGTATGCCATTGCATCTTAATTTTTTTCATGCATGTATCGTGGTAAGCCAGTGTATGAAGAAGGTAAAATAACTGGCTGTCTAATACTGGTAAATTCAATGTTACTATCATTATTGACTGCATGTCGTAAATGAATATAATTTTCGGCACGTAGTTGATTTTGATGTAATCGCAAGTAGAGCAAAACGCTCTGTGATCATTTTCGCCATCATATCAACCCCAAATTGATTCAGTAAGTTCTTATAATACAGCAGGTAGCTTATACTTTCAATTCTCAGCATAAATCTGTAAGAGTAGAATTGCATGCAAGAAACAGTTTTTTTTGGAAGACTGTCAAGTGGTATAATGCTAGAATATCCATTTCCTTCGTAAACAAACATAAGGGGATATTGCTAAGAGTCATATAATCGGTGAAGCTCAGAAACTCGCTCCAATCGCTCGTATTAACCATGTAGACCAATATCTCTGGGACCTTCTTCTTCACCAACTATTAGTGCAGCAACTTCATTAACCCTCGGCGCGTTGTATCGTCCCTGATGTTCACCATCAGGGGTACGGTCAGCATGAATAATCAATCTTAAATTTTCAAGTTCGTCGACTGTTCGAGATTCATAATTAGATATAAGAGTCCTAATAAGGGGATTTAAATCATGCATAACTTTTTGCAATGATTCTATCAAAGTTTTTTTAAGAGTATTGTCTGACCAGATAGAAATTTGTTCATCTTCAGTCATGGAATAAATTTGCAAGCACTGCGAATTTTTGTTTTTTTCTGGAAGTAAGCTGCCAATCTAGTGGTACACTTGACTTTGAGTCTTGAAAGTTTAAATATAGTTTCCTTTTCTGATCTCTTTAACTTCAAATCATGTCATTTGAAATAGAGTATTGTAACGTCTGATATTTTCAAAAAAATGTTTTTATTGGGGGTGTTCGTCCATCAATAGGCATCTAACCAATTTAGGAAGTTCTTCCACTGGATCAAGAAAAACTTTACCACCAGAACAACAAAGCCCTGGAGCTTCATCTCTCCATTTCTTAGTGCCACAATAAGTACAAACACATACTATTCCATCTATTTTAGTTGTTGGAAGATTCAAGTAGTAAATATCAGGGTAATATAGAATAGAAAGCTCATTTGTCACTTAAATAAACGTTATTTTCTCGATTTTAACGCGGCTGTTCCAATCTCAATAAATGTTCTGCATAAGTTTCTCGATGCCTGAAATTGTAAATTATTATTTATTAAATTATTGGGGCATTTGAAGTTTTCCTTCCGACTCACTCTCTTGCAATTCTAGGCATTGTTAATGTTAATGTAGTTCGTTTATCTATAGAGACACATACTCAAAGTCATTACGCACGTGTGTGTGTATTCATGTGTGAATAAATATTGTGTGGCCCTCTGTGCGCTCGCAGTTAGTCTGCTCTATAGCGCTGCCTTGTTCACACGCTGTATATACTTGCATCGCCCGTTTATGACTGTATTATCAACATACATTAAATTTTTCATTTATTAATTATAAATATTATCAGTATTTCATTCTCACCTCACACACCTATATTCATTTAATAGTTAAAAAATTTTAACGTAAGCTGGTTCTTAAATGGACTGGTCAGAAAGATTAAGTAAGTTGAGCCTAGACTGGAGGATCGTNACTTGCATCGCCCATTTACGACTGTATTCTTAATATACATTAAATTTTTCATTTATTAATTATAAATATTATCAGTATTTCATTCTCACCTCACACACCTATATTCCTTTAATAGGTTATGGGCCCAGGTACGTTGTGCTGAGGTTGTACTGAGGTGTAAGTGATTGTGTTAAGTGTAGAAACATTTTTCGTCGCAGTAGTGTGAGTGCTGAAGAGCCGAGATGGCTGGAGAAATTTCGGCAAGACATGTGACAACATTTAATGGCACGAATTTCCTAGGCTAAAAATTTCAGATGAACGCCTTGTTCGTCGCATATGGATAACACGAAGTCGTCGCGGGCGTTAGTGTGAAGCCAGATAATGCAAACTCGGCAGAGGCTATAAAGTGGGTAAAAGAAAATGCCACAGCCATGTTTTTAATTTCTTCCACGATGGAATATGCTTAGTTAGAGAGTTTGCTTACACAATCGCGAAGGATATGTGGAACAATCTTAAGATAATATATGAGCAGAAATCCGAGTTGAACAAACTCATGCTCACGCAACGTTTTCACGCATACAAGATGGATCCAACAGACACAGTAGTGCAGCACATAGAAAAAGTACAAAACATGGCGACGCAACTTTTAGATCTTCAAGAGAATGTTTCTAATTTAACTATTATGGCTAAAATTCTAGCAAGTTTGTCACATAAATTTAATCATTTCCAAACGGCTTGGGAAAGCGTAGAGCCAGCTTTCCAGCGCAATGGACTTGACAAGAAGAACTGGACTCGGGCTATCAACAAAGAGCTTACAGCTCCCACTAATAAAAAGACGTGGAAGTTTGTACCGAGAACCCAAGGAATGAACACAATCGACTTAAAATGGGTCTTTAAAATCCTTAACGACGAAAATGGGGAGGCTCTGCGCTATAAGGCACAGGAGTGGAAATTCTAGAGCAGTGTAATAAAGTCAGGCAATGTTGTGTGCGTGTTGCGAAAATCGTTGTATGGGCTAAAACAAGCCCCACGCTATTGGAATAGAAAATTTACGAGTTTCTTAGGTAAGTTCGGATGTAAAGAAACTAAAGCAGATAAGTGTATCTTCGTCGGAAAATATAATGGACATATATTTTATCTTGCGCTTTTTTTAGATGACGGATTAATTGCGAAAAAATCGTTAGATGTATTAAATGAGATACTTCGTTATCTTACACAAGATTTTGATATTACTATCGGCGATGCAAGTTCTTTTGTAGAATTAGAAATGAATCGCAATAGGCGTAAGAAAAGCATTGTTATCTAACAGAGTTCGTATATAAAATCTATATTACAGCGATTCAGAATGAGTGATGCGAAATCAGTAAGCGTGCCCGTGGATCCGTATGTAATATTGAAGCCGGTAGAGTCGGAAAGCGAGGTAATTAGCGACAAACGGTATCACGAAGCCATTGGTTGCCTTATATTTTTAGCTACGGTTTCTCGTCCCGATATTTCGTATGCGGTTAATTTACTGAGTAGATTTATAAACAAGCATAATATAAATCACTGGCAAGCTGTAAAAAGAATATTTGCTTATTTGGTCGGAAGTATTGATTCATTAAGTATTGTCGCGGTGGAAGCGCATTAAAATTAACAGGTTTTTCTGATTCCGATGATGACAGTGATATTGAGACGAGAAGGTCAACTTCGGGCTACGTATTTTGATTGGAAAATGGGCCTGTAATTTGGTCTTCTCAGCGCCAAAAGCTAGTCACTCTAAGCACGACCGAGGCAGAGAATGTCGCCGCAGCAACAGCTGCTAAAGAGCTGATATGGTTAAGAAAACTTATGGGCGGCATCGGTAGTCAATGTGAAAAAGGTACTAATTTGTTTATCGACAATCAAAGTGCGATTAAATTAAGCAAAAATCCTGAATACCATAAAAGAACCAAACATATTACGCGAAACGATTTGATCGTTTCAATATCGTCATTATCTTGAAACGAACGGTGAAAGTGTTAATGTAGTTTGTTTATCTATACATACACATACTCTAAGTCTTTACGCGTGTGTGTGTGTATTCATGTGTGAATGAATATTGTATGGCCCTCTGTGCTCTCGCAGTTAGTCTGCTCTATAGCGCTGCCTTGTTCACACGCTGTATATACTTGCATCACCCGCTTATGACTGTATTCTTAATTTACATTAAATTTTTTATTTATTAATTATAAATATTATCAGTATTTCATTCTCACCTCACACACCTATATTCATTTAATAGTTAAAAAATTTTAACGTAAGCTGGTTCTTAAATGGACTGGTCAGAAAGATTAAGTAAGTTGAGCCTAGACTGGAGGATCGTAAATTCCTGGTTGAATGCTGATAGTTGAGAGAACGATTCAAGGTTGTCGGTGGCCGTGATTTCAAGCCTTTAAACGAACTGCTCCACTCTTGCTGCTTGTCAGTGAATGACTGACTTGATTCAACGTTGGCTGGCCTTATATAGCCCTTCTATTAGTGTACAAATTGTTGTAAGTTGCTTTAAAGTTTCAATCTAAAAAAGTTTAAAAAAATATAGTTGGCAAAGTAGTGAAATACTAGATGGCCCTAAAAAAGACCAATGAGATTGATGATAATGTAGTTAATGTAAATTTTACTAATGGCCCTGAAAAGGGCTAGTAGTTATGCTTCTTAGTAACTTCTAGGTGCTGGAGGTTAATGACTCGACACACCGGATCCGGCGTTCTGTAAGTAGCACGTATCTACCGTTTGACTCGGCTTAACCGACGGGGATCGCGTAGCTCAGGTATTTAAATCCGGGGTAGCTTGACTCTTGATCTCGGAGTCTCTGCATATGGAGATAGTGCTATAGAGTGGTACGCAACCAGCCAAAGGATATTGTGTCTTCGAGTTGTTCTC